ATGAATTGAAGCTACTGTGCATAAATATTAAAACAAACTAAACACATAGGCATTGTCTTGCGTTACAACCACAAACGTCAATCTGCTCAACATGAGAGTTTATGTAGTGATAGACTAAGTTAAAGATGTGCATAACTGTAAAAGGAGGGGAAATTATGACAATGGTTTACTTTTGCATTTTTGCTGATATCCTGCCAATACATGTCTATCCGCCTAAAGTGGCAATTTGATCACCGAGAGGCTATTTGAGGTAGGATAACTTATTGGCACCACAACTACATGTAATGCTCTGGCAAAATCTGCACTTTATGGGAGACTGTCAAGAAAACAGTGAAAGAAAGTCATTGATGAATTTAGTTCTCGGTTTGCAAAAAATCAAGAAATAGACATAGCAAACATGGTAAACAAAGTACCTGGTGAAATGATAGCAAAAGCAAAACACTTTAGTCTTCATTCACAACATTATGATAACGTAAAAACTAGAAGTGATCATCACATTTAAAACCACAACCTGTGTAGAGATGCATTGATACAATTCCTGGATGCTTTGGATATGGGATCTGACATTGACTAACTAGCTGGATCAGATAGCAGTGACAACCTCACCTGGACTGTAAACACCACCTCACTGGTGAAAGAAGTGCTTTTATTTCTGGTGGATGATGAGGAGAGTCCACCTGTCCCCACCCATCACCACCTTCTACAGAAGCACCATAGAGAGTGTTCTGACCAGCTGTCTCACTGTGTGGTGTGGAAGCTGCAGTGTCTCAGACTGGAAGAAGGCTGCTGAATGTTGAAAAAAACTCTAAATCATGTCACAGACTCTGCATCAAACTTCCATATCAATGCATTTTTTTGCACCATGTTTTTTTTCTCCAACAATGTTTACATTTGATCACTGCTGCACTCTAAGAAATGGAAATGTCATGAGAGCTGTACAAATTGAAATTTCTTTTTGTATACACTCTGTGTATACAAAATGACAATAAAGTCTAAGTGATGTTGGTGATCCAATTCACTGCACTTTACATGGAACTGTTATTTCTTTCTTTTTGCTGCTTATTTGTTCATAAATAATGTAAAGTACATCTATATCTGTGTTATTTTACCTTTTTTACAGTGTTTATGTCGAAAACATAAACATTGTAAAAAGCTTTCAACTCACATGTAACTATATGATTCAATTATTCAACTGTTGAATCGGATCAGGCACTATGCTGGGCCGAGGTATCGGATTGGATCGAATCGGATAAAACTGGATGACTGGACCTCTAATCCTGTGAAATATGGTGCTGGCAGTCTAATGCTGTTGGGAGGCTTCTGTTCAGCCAAGAAAGTAAGGCAGCTTAGAAAATAATTCAAAATGATATACATGTTTGCTGTTCCACAAGAGAACCACCCTAAACATACAACCAGATCAACATAGAAGGATTTATTCAGAGGAACGGCCCAAACAAAGGCAAGAATTGAAAACCATTGTTCAGATACAGTATGTTCTCCACTAAATATAACCGAGTTTGAGCAGTTTAGCAAAGATTACTATTAACTCAGATTGATTAATACAAAAGCAATGTAATCTGCTCTTTTACTGATTATCTTTGTAAAATAAAATACAAAAAGTTCTATATCATTTACTATACACCTCACATGCGATGTATTATCGACACAAAATAGGGCCCATCAGTGTTCATGGCAGAAATGACACATTATTAAATGTAAAATTATATAATAACTATTATTGTTTTTGCATTTCATATTAAGGAAAAACAAGTAAAGATGCACTGATCCAGTTTTTTCTGATCGAATCCAATACCAATACCTGGACTGAGCATATCAGCTGATACCTGATACTGATTCAATACTACTGTTAAATCAATTAACCAAACAACTTGCCATGTGAGTGAAGGCATAAGGATTGACATAAGCATTGTTGACATAAAAGTTACAAATTAACAAATATAAATAATCACTAGTTGCTCTGGGTTTTCTGCATGATGACGTAACCTTTGTTGCAAACATAGAATTGAAGTGACTGTATTGTGGTGGTCTTATTACTGTTTTAAAAAAGAAATTAATAAAAAACAATGGATGCCGATGCTAGATTGACATTAATTATCCGATATCCAATCCAGCTAATTAATCAATTATGAAAATTAAGGTTTTAAAAACAGATTTATTGCACGTTCATATAAAAAATATTTTCTTTATTATTTCATAATGTTTCCCAAATTTGTTAAATTAAGTGTCCTAATTTTTCTGTCACATTCACGCTTGTGTCTGTCTGCAGCACCATTTCAAACAACTCTCAAAGGGTTTCATAACGCCTCCCCCACATATCCCAGTAGCTCAAGCACACTAGCAGCAATATCAGTGCACTAACTGCTAAAACAAACCTGGAAACCCTAACCAGAGGCACTATAAAAGCTAACCACCCCTGATAAATGCAGAGACATAAAATTCACTCTCCTTACAGGGGGAGTCAGTGAATTGAAAGACACTCGCTCGTAGCATGCTGAACCACAAAACCAACGGACTGGAAACGTCTTCCTTTTCTGATAAACAGACCTAGTGAACCAACGCAGGAGAGTGTTCCCCCACGGGCTGCAAAGATAAAATCTCAGTGTCACATCGCATCTAAACAAAGAAAACAATAACCTTAGCAGAGACTCAAAAAAAAAAAAGGACACTCTGTCTCCTTTTGCTGATCTGTCTACAATTTTACATATGCTGCTCTGTCATGTTTGGACCACAAATCTATAACACAGAAATAATTAAAACTTCACGGTTTAGACTAGGGTGAAAATATTGTACTGAAAAATAAACTGAGCTAAGTGATCAAGTAGAGCTGTACAACAAATCTCAATAGTTGCAATTCACAGCATGTCGACGTGTCTGGACAGCCAGATGGAGCTTTACGGCGTTTTATATCCACATCTATTCAGCAACTTAGATGCTGAAGCTCAGGGAGAGAAGTGGGACCATAGTGTGATAAAATAAATAGGGAGTCGTGTAGAAAATGTTGTTGGTTGCTATTGATTTTGTCATTGCAATATACAGTGCTACTGAGGCAATTTTATGTTTTTTTTCATAGCCCTTTTGTAAGAGGGACTCATTTTATTTATTTCTTTTAAAGGATGCTTTATTAACTCAACTGAAATGTTTCACAGACAGGAAGAAAGCTTTTAGATCAACTCAGCTGCCCAAAAAACTCTGAATGAATGCAGAGGAACAACATTTAAACCTAAATTAACTTACATTAACTCTGCTGAAACATCCTTCATTATATTCGATCTTGATGGCTCATAAAACAGGCGATTCACTCTAATGTTGTCATATTTGCATTGGAACTGTTTCTACATCATACAATACCCTTGAATATTGTTTATATCACTTTAATATCTATTGAATGTGATTTTAGTACTGTGGTCCTCGGTCTTCTGTTGTTTTTCAACTATGTTCTCTAGTGAGGCCTTCATAGAGTAGCTGGATCAACATCAAACTGATATTTAGGTTAGATTGCTTGCACTTAGGGGAGCTAGGAAGATGAAGAGACATAAATATAAATCCATGCCCCGTAGTATTGGTAAGTTTTATTTTCTTTCCAATTAAAATTAAATGTTAAAGTAGTTTTTTGCTTTACCGTGACTCTGTGTGAATACATCTCAATGTGCCGTGGTAACTTTATACTGCATATATTGCATATATGCTATTATCTTTCATTATTTATCCTTTATTATAACCCCACTAACATACATATAATGCATATCCTAACTTTTATTTATAATCTTTATATAGCTTCCATATTCATTACACAATTACTCACTGTTTATATATACCAATACATGCATAGTCTCTGAGCACATGTAAATACATAAACTGTACTTGTGACAGTGTAATGAAAATAAAGTTGAATTCAATTCTATTCTATTCTAATATGCTGTATATCTTTAGCACAGCCTGTATTATTGAGAAACGATTCTCAAAGTAACACATCGGTAAAAGAAATCTTGTTTTATTTCCAATCTGGGATACCCTTTGCCTGGAAACACATTTTCTCCTTTATTTCCCCCGTGCCCTGTTTATTTGAACATTCATGACTTTAGTATCTATTAAGAAAGATGGAGACCATGGCTTTACTAATTAAGATGATTTCATTACAATTATTGAAATATTAACATTTTATTCCTTTTGCACTTAAGTCCAATTTATCACACTGCTGATCAACAATTTTAAAACCAACTGTCCACTGCAAAATTGTGTAGAAATTAAAAAAAAAAAAAAAAGATCCCATATAGAGTAGCCCACTATAAATTGTGTAATCCATGAACTCCCGCTAAAATGTTCCACTGTCCAAGGCACTCCCTGTGGTGACCATCTCTATGGTCATTGCTTCGAAGTACCAAATAAGGCATTTCGATAGAGTAGCATATCTTCACAATGATAAACCTTTGAAGATGTAATCATCTTTATAGCCTTTGATAACTATGATATGGGAAATCCTTACCAAAACACCCATAAGTAGCAAGGTTTGAAGTTCATTCTGAGAAATCCTGATCGCAATCACTGCCATCAAAACTACAGGGAGTTTTATTAAGTGTTCCTGATTATCTTAAATATGAAGCCTATACTTATGCTGCAGTTAATGCTGAAATCTCACTTAGAATTATAACCAATGACCAAACTTTGCACAGCCAATTGGATTTCTTTGCAACCATCTTTTCAAATCTTTAAAGTCATTTGGAATATAAAACAATCAAAGAAATATAAATCACAAAAAAAAACAAATATGATATTAGTAAACATCACTACTAAATGTGGACACCATAAGTCCACATTTACCTGTGCACACTCAAAACTCTTATCTAAATCAAAAATATTCTGACATGTGCTTAAAAAAAAAGTACCCCACACCCTCATTTCTGCTGTATACAATAAAGCCCAGTGGGTGCAGTATGTCTGAAAGCAAAACTGCTTCAATGTAGACACGTGTGCTTCCTTACCTTGTAGGTTCGACAGGAGGGGTTGAAGGCATTTGTGCCACAAACAAATAGGGTGTCTTCATTTTGCTGCAGGAGGACTTTGATGAAGTTGTGACACTCATCCTTCAGGGAGCATAGAGCAAAAGAACAAAACAGGGAAAATGTATGGTGACATTTGTGTTTATACTTTTCTACTAATAGCAATATTTGTCTTGTAGAACAATAAGCTTGTTCTTTTATGCCTTTTTTGTGAGGTACAAGATAATATGCATATGCAGCAGACACTAATTATTCATAAGGAGGTGTAATTGTTTTTAATGAAGCAAATCTTTTTATATATGATTATAGAGCTGAACGACATCAAGATTCCTACTTAAATGCTTTACAAATTATGAAAGGAGCATGTTATATAAGCCATTAAATGTGTTAATATGTCTTCAGGGTCTTAGGTCAATGTCTGTGAGCATGTTTGAGAAAAACAGGGAGAGACTGAGTTATTAAATCTGATGTGAACTTGTCTAACGTGGCTGATTTGGAAACTGAAGAATATGTTACCTTATGCTTTCCTTTCATTCTGCAAGTGTCTACATCTGCTTGTCTGGACTTCCAGGTCATTTTCTAAAGGGAGAGAAAGAGAAATGATTGATGTAAACAGG